TGTATCTAGTCTGTCATAATTGTCTTATTTTGTATTTTTTGTAGTTTGCAATTTAAATTATAAACCTTAAAAAAATGTCAGAGCAGGAGGGAATAAAACACGTGCCATCTGCTGCGACCGGTTGAGGAGAGAGAAGGAAGACAGGATAAAGACATGCTGTGGAAGAGAGACAGAGAATAATAACAAGTATGATTCAATGCAGAGAGGTCTATTAACACATAGTGGGTGAGAGAAGAAAAACTCAATGCATCATTGGAATCCCCCAGCAACCTAGGCCTATTGCAGAATAACTAAGGGAGGATTCTGGGTCACCTGATCCAGCTCTAACTATATGCTTTAGCAAAAAGGAAAGTTTTAATCCTAATCTTGAAAGCAGAGCTAGTGTCTGTCTCCCGAATCCAAACTGGAAGCTGGTTCCACAGAAGAGGGGCCTGAAAACTGAAGGCTCTCCCTCCCATTCTACTTGTAAATACTCTAGGAACAACAAGTAGGCCTGCAGAGCGAGAGCGAAGTGCTCTAATAGGGTGATATGGTACTACAAGGTCATTAAGATAAGATGGGGTCTGATTATTTAAGACCTTGTATGTGAGGAGCAGGGTTTTGAATTCAATTCTGGATTTAACAGGAAGTCAATGAAGGGAAGCCAAAACAGGAGAAATCTGCTCTCTCTTTCTAGTCCCTGTCAGGACTCTTGCTGCAGCATTTTGGATTAGCTGAAGGCTTTTCAGGAAGTTTTAGGACATCCTAATAATAATGAATTACAGTTGTCCAGCCTGGAAGTAATAAATGCATGAACTAGACAGGATATTTCTCATTTTAGAGATGTTGCACAAATGGAAGAAAGCAGTCTTACATATTTTTTTAATATGTGCATTGAAGACATATCCTGGTCAAAAATGTAATGGTATCAATCCTCAAAGTTTAAAATTTCAATTTCTCTGTATTTCTCATGATTGGATATTTTCAGTATATTTTAGGCTTTCATGTTCAAATGTTTGCAAATTCTTTATTATACGGACAGTAAGGATAGATATTCTCTAAAAGTCAGTGTTAAATATATATGATTTTTTATTCTGTTTTCCAAAAAGAAAAACATGCTAGCAATAGCAGATTCTAAAGATTAAGTAGGAAATATTTGAATTTTTAAATTTAACTTTACATGTCGTGAACGCAGTATGTCAAACTAAGCAGTATTTATCAGGCAGATATGTTAACCATGGTGACATTTTAAGTGTGTTGTATTCTTAAATAGAAATGATTAATCTCTTTTTAGCTTTTTTTCCTTGAGATGTTGCTTTCAAACATGTGTGACATGTCATAAAAACAGATCTGCTAAATGAAACATTTTGACATAGTAGATGTAATTGGACTGTGACAGAGTAAAACCTCCTCTTATGTCTCCTGGCTGCTCTTCTCTCCTCCAATGACAACCCTGCACTGATTTATTCTCTCTGATGATTGGCCGTCTGCCGTCACCTTGACAGCAAGCCTTCTTCATTATAACTCCACTTTTCCTCTCCTCTTCTTCAAATCATTTTTCCTTTCATATTAAGTTTTTTTTCCCTCCCTGTGCTCTGCCAGTGGATTTTATTTGACAGGAAATATTCCAGGCGATGCGGTGTGGTTGTAGATCTCGGGCCGTGGCAGAACGTATCGATCGGGCTGATTTGCATACATAAATCTATTGGCTATCTGACACTTGCCAATATTCTGGGCAGCGGGGAGCAGTGGTGCTGAGTCGGCCAGGTCACATTATCATTGGTGATGGAGCTTTGATGAAGTGTGACAGCGCTGCACAGCTGCTGACTGACTGGCTGAGAGACTGCACTGTAAAAAAATTCATGTTAGCTTTAACAGCAGCTTAGTGCTTTTTAACAGTGAGTCTGTCAGACTATATTTACATATTTTTATTCAACACCTTGAACAAAAAGTAGGGTATATTTCCCTGAGCACCCCCAGGTTATTTTAATTTGTTAAGTTAAAAAGTTAATATGCGTGTGATAAAATAATTTTGTTAACTGAAATAATACAAAAACTAGAAAATGAGAAACTTGAAATGAGCAAACCCACTTTGGATACATAACTGTAACTACACTAAACAAACAAACAAATGAAAACTCAAAATAAAATGAAAATAAAAACTAATTAGAACATTGTAGTAACTGTGACTTTGTAAATTGTAAACGGTTATGTAGGAGTTTAGGAGTTAGAAAATTAGTGGCATCATCATTTTTGGATTTAGACTGAAATTTTGAAACATTTGGAAGCTTTTTACATAAGACTTGAAATTAGCATCAGACATCATAAAATCAAGGGTGAAGTAAGGCCCAGGTAATTAATTAAGATTATTATCTTAATTAAGAGATCTTTCGGCAGCTGTACAGTAAATGTGACTCCCTGTAGAGATACGCTTAGTTTAGTTAAATTCATTTCAAATCAATTTATATGGTTCCACCTGATAACAATAGTCACCTCAAGGTACTTTATGTTCTAAGGTAAAGACCCAAGAAAGAAACCCCAATGATCACATGACTCCCTATAATCAAGCAAAAGTGGGAAGGAAAAACTCCCTTTTAAGAAAATAAAACTCAGAACTAAGTTTAGGGAGGTGACTGGTTTGACTGGTTGGGGGTGATGGGAAACAGAAGAGACTTGACATGTAGTGGATGAAGCTGGAGGCTGGATTGAAATGGGGTCTTTGTCTTCTATACAGTCTGACTTCTTATTGCAGCTATAGTAGCTGTCCCCTGCTGGCCATTAGAAGGAATGCAGCTTCAAGGTTTTTCTCCATTGGCTGAACATTTTAGACCCAGAAGCCACTGCCATCTTTTCTTTACAGTCTATAGGCAATGTTCACTCTTACAGCTTTACACAGTGGGCTTTTGAGTGGGATCAGCAGTAGGAATGACACTTTGTTAGTATTTTAAAATACAAAACACTAGTTTTAAGTTTGTTTCCCACCTATCATGGTCTAATATACCTGCCGTTTGTTAGATCAGGTTTGGTTAAAACATATATTACTCAATTGTCATTTTTATTTAGTTGCACTGTCCAGTAAATAAGGAATCCATTGCACTCTGTTGCAGTTGGTGATACTGACTGGGTAATTGTCAACTTTTGACTTGGACCTTTAAACAAATAAACATAATTAATGCATTTAATTGATAAATGTCCAACTGTCCTTTTGAATAACTTCCTGTCTGGACTTTGTTTCATCACTTTTTGTTCTGGCTCTCAAGTGTCCTCTTTTAAAATCAGTGATCAATAAAATTTGGAAAACATTTTATATTTTTAACTGGCAGAAGCTGTTGTGTTACTGTTTTGGGCAGGGAGCCCAGAAGCACCATCCTGTCTCAGACAAATTGGACTGTCCACGCAAGAAAAAACACACGTCTTTAGCTTACACAGTGCTGCAAACAGTATTAAGTGTAAGCACATCTGTCTGCTCATATATCAAAAGCAGAAATAGATGACAAAGCTGGGACTTTGTTGTCATCCATGAATGTCTTGGGTTGCTGATTATTATCAGGCAATAATCTGCATTTTCAAGTTCAAAAAGATGATGTTCAACAAAGAACTGAAAACCCTGGCATACGTGACCAAATGAACGTGGTCAGCACTGCAAGCCTAATCTGAAGCCTTCAGGAAGTGCTACACCACCCATGCAAGAGACTCCCTGCGGTTGAAATCATCTCCTTAAAACTTGTTTAAACCTGGTTTATTTAGTTAATTTAGTGGAGATCTGAGCTTTGAGATTAATCACCAAACACAGCAGTCATTTCAAAACTTTAAACATCTGTAAACTCATAAAAAAAATATGAATAGTATGTCAGAATTTCAAAATTTTGATTTTGTGTGCAATATGTGAGGAGGTTTATACGTTTAGGCATCATTTTCTTTATATTAGTGTCTGTGTCTTTCTTTGCATATGTGCACACACACACACACACACACACACAGTGTGTGTGTTCGTGTGTGTGGGTGTGTGTGTGTGTGTGTGTGTGTGAGCGACAACTGGAGTAGCATCTAGTTTCTTTGTTTCTGTCGAAGGAAAAGGTCAAAGCGGCAGAGAGAATTAATTGAAGAGTGAGAGAGCACAGCTGGCTCTGTCAGTCCAGCCATTCCTCTGTGTGTGTGTGTGTGTGTGCGTGGGTGTGTGTGCGCATGTGTGTGTCTCTGTATACGGGGTTTTCATATGCTGTTCTGTTTTGTGCATTTTTGTTCTCTTTTTTTTTCTTATTGGTTCATGAGAGCGACATCCGATTATCAAATTTAAGAATTAATTAACTGTTTGTTTGTTTTTTCATTTACTTCAGCTACCTATACTGCACCTGCCTATAAATGCAGGTACTCACTTCACACTGAAGCACTCTTTCATCTGAAGGGATACCCTCTCACCATATTTGTTATAGTTTTGTACCAATCTTGGCTCTGGAAGCACAGACGTTATCCTGTGTAACCCTATGTCATATCTTTTATTTTCACTTATAACAATGCTATATAATATAAATAGTATGAATACTGTATACATACATATGTGTACTGAAAAGTGCCATTACTAACAAAGCATATATATAATCCTGCACAAAACCCACTGTGCGAGTTAACAGATTTATCAGCATCATGGGTCCCTCGGACCATCATCGTGGTTTTTCTATTCCATTAAATGTGTTTCCCACATCCTTTTTCATGGTGTGTATTCTTTCAGCTGCAACCCAGGTGGTGTTAAACAGCCCGAGAAGAAGTAAAGAACAAAAAGCTTATTTCCAAAAGTGATATTGGCTAAATCAAAATTGACTTAGGTGCCCTGTTTTGGGATTATTTGAAGGCTTAAAGAACAATAACATTACTTATAATTGCTCGAAGCCAACAGGAATAATTTTGCTTCAAAGAATCTGTACTTCTTATTCATGTTAATCAAGGAAAGACAAAAACCTCTGACAATGTTTAAAGCTTTAGACTTTCTTAATGCCTCTCTTCCTCTGCTCTTTGTCCTCCAGCTCATCCTGGAGCTAGTTCTAGAAAAACTGGTGTAACATTTCCCCTCAGGGTCTCTTATCGTTTGGCTTTGCCTGGTAGACCACCAACAGCAGGTGCTTAAACCACCTCAAACACTCAGTACACACAATACCTACATTTTTATTAATTGCCTTTATTTCAAATAACACCAAAAGTGTAACGCTTACTCAGACTCTGCTGCTGTCATCTGCATTTTTCAGTGTTGCTAAAGTAAAATAGCTCTTCCCTTCCAACTTTCAGACATATGTGTGTGTACTTTTTTCTTTTGCAGTATTTTCTGTCTACTAGCATGCTTGCGCTTACGTGTGTGTGCGCTCTTGACTGTATGTATACATCTGAGTGTGTTTGTGTGTGTGCTCCCTCATTACCTGGCACTGCTCCCGGTGTTCTCGTTGTGGGAACGCACTGTGACAACCTGCTACTTTCGTATGCAGGAGACCAGCACTGATGACGGGGTCGAGTTAATAGCTCTTCTGTGGCAAAGCTCTGATCCTTCAACGCCCCCGCACGCATCCCCGCCACAACTCCCCCTCCGCACCGTGATACAAACACCGAGTGGCACAATTTAATGAAGTTCTGTTCTTTAAAGCAAGTGGTGGTTTGCAGGGATGGAGGGATGGAAGGGAGGTATGAGAAGCCCTCTGGTCCTTCAGCTCATCTGTTTCTTTGAATAGTTTCCACGAATCAATCGATGCGCCGGTTTTCTCCTGGCCTTTCAGTGCTGTCACCCGTCATTGAGGGATGCAAATTCATGTCAGAAACTGGCCTGACACTTTTCCTGTCGGGCCCCGCCACTTGAAAACGCCGCAGCTCAGCAATAAACGGGGTGAAGGCCTCATTTCTCAGAAGGCCGACAGAGAGAGAGATGGAGAGGGAGACCTTTTCCATCAAAGTTTTCTCCCTCCGTCCTGACACGATGAGGATGTGAAAGGACACTTGGTAAAGTTCATCTCTTTCTACACAGAGAAGCACCAAAGTCAGAAAAAAGGTTTAAGTTCTGACTGTTAAGATGGTGAAAGGAGAAATAAACCAACTCCACGAACAATATAAAACACCTCTAACAAAAGTCACACAGAAAACTACATATGCAAGTCCCACAAAAGCGCGTGCTCTTACATTTTCCTCAGGTTCATATTTACCTCACAAGAAAAATGTGTGTCAAGCCAAGAAAATGACACTGATCACCCGAACCTAAAGACGCAGGTAATGTTTGACACAGCAAATAAATGTTAATTGAATTTATTTAGGCAAGTTACTCTATAGCCACAACATTTTACAATCAATTCAAAAAGCAAAGGACCCGTCAGATCGGCTGCCTGTAAGCCTCACTTTCACTATGCTGCCATAAAAACAGGGACAGGAAACCGTTTTTTTTTTCACCAGGTAGGTGAAGTGGAGCCGAAGAACTTGAGTAACTAAGTAAATTTACCAATCACAAAAATGGCCAGCAGGGGGCAACACCTCTGACTGCAAAAAGAAGTCTGATTAGTTAGAAGTCTGCAGTGTTGGGAAGGTTACTTTTAAAATGTATTCCATTACAGATTACAGAATACATGCCCCAAAATGTATTCTGTAACGTATTCCGTTACGTTACTCAATGAGAGTAACGTATTCTGAATACTTTGGATTACTTAATATATTATCATGCTGTTTACAACTACGTGAATGTACTATTGCTGTTATTTATTACTGTTACTGAAGGTCAACAACAACAACAAAAAGGCGCTCTCTCTCACCCAGGAAACACGCCTGTAACCATGGCAACCGTAACGCTGCCGCCTGGAACAACAGAACGTAGCTGTCAAACAAAACCCAAACAGTCCTGACCCGCGACAATATGAAACAGGAAAGTACCGCAGTGTAATCCATTTATTTCAACAAAGTAACTGTATTCTAAATACCACCTTTTTAAACGTTAACTGTAACGGAATACAGTTACTCATATTTTGTATTTTAAATACGTAACGGCGGTACATGTATTCCGTTACTCCCCAACACTGGAAGTCTGTGGAAGGATTATACTACTACTCACTTTATCTGTGGCCTCAGTAAATACTTTTCTGATTAATTTATGGTATGAACTGTTACTTTCAAGTTGAATGAAGTTGAAGAATCATTAAAAGGCAGCGTGTCCTCTATGGTACTCCAACTCGAATGACAAGTTGAAACGGTACCGGCACGCAATGTCCTTTGGTTTCTCTGTCCGTGGTATGTATGGTTTCAAAAAGAT